TGAGAACCCTAATCTATCTTTGCCTTGCTCTGATACCAACTTGAATAACAGAAACAAGGAAAGAATGTATTTTCTGATGTAATTCATAGAGAAGAAGAAGAGAGAAGAAAGAAGAAGAAAAAAGAGAGAGAAAGGGTGCAGTTACTTAATTCTGGCCGCCCCACTAATTCTTGTAACTTTACAAAGAAATAGAAATCCTCTAATACCTATCTTCATAAGAAAACAAAGGAAATAAATATGGCCCAACCGGCCAACTACCATAACTGTCATTAAGTAACATAAAGAAATAAACAGAAAAATAAAGTGTGACCACACACACTAACAGCCTATCAGCTATCTCTACAGTACATTTAGAAAGCCTACGACCATGTCTAGCGGAACTTTTTAGATTATCTGCTCAAAAGAATGGAATTTGGCACTAAATGGAGAGGGTGAGTTTCAGCTTGCTTATCAATGGCTATGTTTCCAATCCTCATAAATGTATCCCTGAAAGATTACTTTGAGTTGGAGAGAGGCCTTAGGCAAGGGACCCCCCCCCCTCTTTTTGTTCATTATAGTAGTGGAAACACCAACCAGGTTGATTGGCTAAGCTGAAGCCAGTGGCCCCATTAAAGGATTCAACACCAATGCAAACAGCCAATTATATTTGACCAGCTAAAGGTTAGGGGTCAAGCTGGCTAATAAATGTTGTTTATGCTCCTTGGAAGTGTTAGACAGTTTTGTATGGCCTTAGCTCCAATCAGATTTGATGTACTTTTGACATTTAGTGTAAATAAATAAAGTACAWGTTTGATTMATGTTGWGTGRTATRYTTYTGTGTAAGACCCTTAAACTGGACACTTAATGAGACTCGTGTTAGTTTAGAACATTCACAGCCGTTGGATAAGTCTGGGGAGATTTATCCTACCAAGGCTGACACTGGTGTGCCGCCAAGTGTTGGGGTGGCTTGTCTCGGCCGCCAGGGTAAGACCCAAGGCACATGCAGTGTGGGATTACTCGAATCCTTGAACCGGACCAGATTTCCAGAATTGCCCTGGACCTTGGAGATAGATGGGCAAAACTGGAAAGTTACAACTAACCCCTAGACTCGATTATGATACTGCACTAGGTGTCGGATTGGGCTGTCTTTGATATGCCAATCAGTGAGACCCTTAGCGGGGGTCAAAACCTGGGTATGTTGGGACAGTCTGAGAATTCATCTAAGTGGGTGATCATAGTGACAGGATCAGCCCCTTTGTCGGACAAAGGTAATGATCGAGGATGCACTCTCTCTGATGGAAACCAAACTGCCGGCAGTTGATTTCAATCGTTGGAATTTTGTTTTACAAATTTTATATATATGATATATAGATATGTACGGTTTCAAAATGTTTGCAAATGGTTTTAATTCCCGGGATCCATGTAAGTAGAGAGTGAAGCACTGTTCCTTGCAGCCGAGGGAGAGGTCCTCTCTTGTCGGGCAGTGCTTGATCATTATGGGCTGAGAGGCTAAGTGTAAGACCATTTAGGGTAATGCTTGATGGGCTAATCTTGCATCTGCCCGCAGTCCCTAGGTTTTTATAAGATGGCTTGGCCCAGGGACCACTTAGTGTAAGTATTGGGCCCATAGGGTCCATGTGATGGGCTCAGAGGGTTCACTAGGCTTTCCAGTGAATTCGGCTAGGCCTTGTAACATAGGTTGGGCCGAACCCATGTGGCTGATGTGTAGATCAATGCTTGGGTCCCACGCCATACAAAGAAGCCCAACTGAGCAGCAGTTTGGAAACTAATTGAGCACTTAATACTTATTGGGCCTAAAGCCCATTTCGAACTGGAGCTGATATGATCACCCACTTATGGGGCGGATCTGAGATAAGAGTTAGCTAAAAGGATTAGGGTTTTAACCCTATCCACTCTTGGAGACCAAATTCAAATGAGATTTGAATCTGGTAATCTCCTGATAAGATCAGGAGTAGGCTAACCTAATCTGTAGATAGGATTAAGATTATCCCCTATCCAAATACAGATTTGGATTGGGATAACTCCTAATAGGATTAGGAGATTTCTTAATCAAGAAGAAAGAGGAGAAACCCTAATGAGAAAAAACAGAATTCGAACCAAGGGTTTTAGCAGAACAACCTCCTGCAAATTGAGATAGGATCTCAGATACTCCAGAGTGAAGAAAAGTAGTATTCGCCAACTTCATCTCTAGAGTTCTCCTCTAGCTACCGCCACTCACTACAAGATTCGATCTCTCTGAGAGGGAAAGATCAAGGAGTTCTTGATATCAGTCTTTGCTGAAAGATTGATTCAGTTCGGTGCTCATAGTCTCCAACGAATTCTTGTGAAGCGTTCAGTGCGTAGGACGCACACTACTGGTTCTGTTCCACCGTTGCTATGTCATGTTCAGCAGGAGCAGATCTTGGACCTCTCTTTGGACGTGAACACCGACGTTGGGAGATACTGATTCTCCGTATCAGGTATAACCCTTCCCTTTCCTTTTGGTTCAGATCTGGTTCGGTTTTGGTTCAAGTAAATCCTTGAATATTGATTCTAAAATTAGGGAATATGATTCCCAGTTGGAAGAAAGGTAGAAAATTTTTGAAATTCGCCCCACCCAATTCCGCACCCTTTTGGCATCCATATGATGGATCCCACCATTCTTCTAGGAAGAGGAATCCGCAGCTCAATGTTTATCAATTGCAGAATAACCCACAGCTGTAGGTTACACTTCTTTTAGTTATTTGGTGTCCAATCGATGATGCCAAAAGGATTTATATTCTCTATTGGCTGCTTGGACATTCAAGGGATTCAGCAAGATAAGGACTATCCTGTGGAAGCTGGTTCCCTTCATCATCTTCTGGGATCTTTGGCGGGAAAGAATTAGCAGGATCTTCAAGAGTAAGAGGAGACATTGTCCTGTTTCTAATTTCTTGGGTCTTCTTCTTAGCCAAGGAACGGTTGGAACTTGGGGTTTGTGAGAAACCTGAGAGAATCTAAAATTCCTTCTGTGTGAATATCTTGGACAACTTGGTTTTTGATGAGTCTGGGTAAGATAGACGACTGTGGAATCTCAGTCCCTCTTTCCCTTGTAAATCCTTTTTCTCTTCACTAGTGGCCTCTCCCCCTTCCCATCCTTTCCCTGTTAAATAAGTCTGGTATGCCCCTGTCCCCCCAAAAGTCAGTGCCTTCTGTTGGGAAGCTTATCATGAAAGCATCAACACAGATGATCTGTTGCAAAAGAAAAGGACAAATTGGTGTTTGTCTCCCAATTGGTGCATTTTGTGTAAGTTGAATGGTGAGAGAGCTTTCCATCTCTTTATTTCCTGCCCTTTTTCTTGTCATATCTGGGAATGGTTCTGCTCTCTCATTGGTTGCAGGTGGAGCCCTCCTGCTAGTTTGGAAAGCCTCTTTAGCCCATCCTTCTTGAGATGCACAAAAAGAAGAGGCAGAATTTTGTGGAAGTGTGCGAGAGCAGCGATAATGTGGACTATGTGGGAAGAAATGAACTTCAGAATTTTTTGAGGATAAAGAAAGAAACAAGTAATCTTGGAGACTATTACTGTTAGAGTTTCTCATTGGGTAAGGACTTTGAAGCTATTATCTGATTTTTCAGTGGAGGACTTTTTCCGATATTGGAGATCAATTGCTTTTTCTACTCCTAAAAATTAGAAGGTCTTGGAGGTTTGGTCGCCATCAAGTAAAGGCTGGGTGAAACTTAACTTTGATGGAAGTAGTTGCGGTAATCCTGGTCCCTCCGGAATTGGAGGAGTAATTAGGGATGGGAGTGGGATCATTTGTGGCTTGTTTTGGGGGCCTATTGGGCAGGGTGGTTCAATGAGAGCCGAGCTCTTGGCGGCTATTGTTGGGGTGCAAAAAGCCAAGGAAATGGGGATTACTAGATTAATAGTAAAAGGAGATTCTAAAATAGTCATTGGCTGGCTGAGAAAAAAAAAAAGAGATGGGGGATTATGGCAATACAGAAATGATCTCAGGCAGTTCAAGATGCTATCAAGACATGCAAATCCAGTTAAGATGGGTAGGAGGTCTGCTAATGGTTTGGCAGATGGCTTAGCTAAACAAGGAGTGAATAGACATCATTTGTTTTGGGCTCAATGTTAGTTGGGTAGTGAGGCTCTGCTGTATTGGGTGTTATCTCTAACAACTTCTTGTACTATTATCTTTTTAAGTTCTAAAAAATCTTTTTAAAGTTGCTTATCAATAAAAAAAGAGTTCTTCAAATTCTCATTTTCACCTATTTTTGTAATCGTGGTACATAATATATCAGATAGCAGCTTTTAGCCAGCAAGTTCTTGATGTAAAGAAATGAGTGCTGCCTGGCTTTGATTTTTGGATGTACCACGGTAACCATAACTCGCTTCTTACCACTATCACCTCTACTTCAATCCCTACTTCTTGCAAGACTTCTTTTCTATTGGCATTCCTGCAACCCTCAACTTAACTAAGCCTTGTCCCAACTATAAAATTCACCGACCTCCCTATGGAATTCCTCCCACCCCCACCCAAAAAAAACTGCATTTCTAACGACTGTCCATTCAGATAAGGTATCTCTCCCAGGAAAGAATTAATAATAGATCTAAAGATTTAGCTAACTGCACTTCATGTTGCAGCAATTGATCTATCTGTAGTAACTGCACTTTTTGACGGTTTCCATGTCATCACTCTAGTAGGCCACTCCTCCAAGTCAGGCTTCTTCCCCACTGAATCCTACTCCACCAAAAGAAAGATTTAATATGTTCTATCAGACCCAAGAACACCAAACCAGCCCAAATTTCTAACTAAAAGGCAGGAGAAGAGAACTCCAATCTGCTTCACCCACCCCATCCCTTAAATTTATTATCTTCATATAACAAATTACATAAGGTAGGCAGAAAGGAAGTAATTTTATCAACTGACAGTGGAAAATGAATAATGTTCCATTGTGACTGAAATGATTTTAAGAATATAGAACTATCTCTATGGGACATGATACTCTAATAAGAAAGAGAAAGAAACAGTACCTGTGTTATTAAATTAGGAAGCATGAACAAGGGGAACCGCAAGACTGCAAAAAGTGACAGCGATGTAAATGCCCTAGCAGGTGTCAAATTCCCTCCAAACAAGGTGAACACCCCAAAAGAAGCCACCGTAACCACAACCGGGATGCTGTTAAGTATAAAACTATTACACTGCAAAACAAGTCAACAGGTCATCAGCACAACAATAAAGGATAAGATAGTAAAGCCCTGGCTTGTAATTTACATGTGGAACATATCATCAATCTGCGTGGAACAGGATATAGACACTAAATGCTTGACACATCCAGAATACCACTTTTCTTATTTAATCATTACACTGCAAATGTTCAGGATGCAGAACACTGTCAATGTATGTTTCAGATTTGATGAGGTGCATAATGAATAAAGAGGACTTGAGTCAAGAACAGGAGTGAACCAAATGGGTGCTGGGGGCATACCCCAAAAAATTTTGAAAAACCCAAAATAGAACTTTATGATATGTAAGGTAGACACCATCAAAGTTCCAGAAATTTCTAATTGGTGCCCCTTCCAAGGAAAGCATCCTGGTTCTGCCTCTAATCATGAGTATAATTGCCTAGAGAAATGTCATTCATGTAAGCATGACAATAGAATGGCTGGAAACATTTCAAAATTGTACTTTGTATTCGCTTCCCTACCGCTGCTAGAAGTTGTGCTTTACGAAACCATGAAAGTTCGTCATCTCGAATACTTTGAACTTTAGATTGGAAACTCTGCTCCCAGGCATAACATCTGAGGCATTATCAGTATAAAGAATCAGAATAATTACTTGAACTAGCTTACTCCATTCAAAATGAAAAGAACATCCGTATGAGTGTATAGCTTACTTCACAGTGTCCATGGCAGCCAATATTTCATTCATGAGACCAATTCTCTTGTCAGTACGTTGCAAGCCTTCCTTAGACAGCTTTTGCATTTTGCTTATCACATATGTCTGCTCCAACAAACAAATGCCAAGGCAAATTTTCATTAGAGTTAGAGGAAGAGGGGGGAGAAAGAGAGAGAGAGAGAGAGAGTAGAACCCAGACACCCAGCAAGGTGTAGCAAACATGAATCTACACAAAAAGGACCCAGAGGACCATCCAAAGCCAACATAATTGAGAGAGCCAAAAACTTAAGGCACACCCAAAAGAATATCAAAGCCCAAAACAGAAAAATGACAAAAGCTCCATTTAAAAGTGAGAAGCAGAACTAAAGTGCAAGAGGTTCCTAGAGCCTGAGATACAAGGTGCAAGGTGAAGCATGCACTAATGCACAGTATGCACCCAAATTAAGTAAGAACCACATTTGGGAAAAATCAAAATAAAATTAATTAAAAGAATATGCAAATTTAAACTTTGAGAAACAAAATAGTTCAAAAAGCTCAATAGTTGAATTGGTTAGACCATCAGGTTATTAGCACAAAGGTTTATATCCTTTAATAATTTTATGTTCAAGACCTACATAGGCTCAATTGTATAAAAACATCATAGATACAACCTACATTATAGTAAATTACCAACTCAACATTAAATTCAAGGTTAATTCATCATCACATATCAACAAAGTTGCAACTTGGGCCAGGCCCAACTCAATGTGTTCAAAAATCAATCCTATCTTTCATCCAACCCGATTCTCAACCACATGGTTCTTGACCCTAACCCAGCCTAATCTTCTAATTGCAAAATACACACTATCATACCAATGTAAGCACACATACTATATAGGCAAATGAGACAGACATCATATTACAGAAATATTTTACAAAAGCAACACTCAAACCYCAATCCCCTAAAACAAGCATTCTTGTTTACATAAATCAATACATATATCCATATAACATACAAGAATATGCAATTATAAGTGCAGCACGTTAGGTCCAGGTTGAGGGTGGACCTTGGTGCAATGGTTGGGTTGCTCCATTGCGACCTGGGTGACCAGGGTTCAAATCTTGGAAACAGCTTCTCTGTATGTGCCAGGGTATGGCTGCATACATCTGTCCCTCCCCAGACCCTGCATTGACAGGAGCCTCATGCACTGGACTTCCATTTTTCACATTAGGTCCAGGTTGGGTAGATGGGATTGGACTGTCAAAGGCATCACCCTTAACCAACCCCCACCCCAACCTCTGCCTATTCCATTTGCTTCTAGAGACCCATCTCATTAATTCTTCTATACGCCCCATCCCGCACTCTCTCCCTTTGAGCTCCAATAGAACATAAATACTATTCTCTGCCCTTTCTTCCAACCATTTAGTGTATATCACAAAGGCCTTATACCACCTGATTCACATAAAGTGACTTGCTAAGTTCACAAAATTCATCCATTTGACATGGATACCAGCCAAATCCTTCGCATGTTCAATGTATCCTTGATTTTTCTTATTTTGAGCTTCAAAACTGCACAAATTCTATTCTCAGCATCTTCTTTCAACCATTAGCATATCAMAAAGGCATTGCACCACCTGCTCCACAAGAAGCAACTTGCTTGGTAAATTTTGTCCATTTGCACAAAGACATCAGTCCTCCAAAGTTTGGTAATGGAAGTGGTAAAAATGACAATAAACTTTGTCAGATCAAATGGTCATCTGTTTCTAAAAACAAACAGGATGGTGGGCAGGGATTTTGTGTCCCATTTGTCTTTAACAAAATTCTACTTGCTAAGCAGGTGTGGCGGCTTATTAACAACCCTCAGTCCTTAGGGTCTCAAATTATGGAAGCCAAGTAGTTAAAAAATAAGATTTCCTGGATGACAAGTAATAGTGGGTCTTGAGGGTGGAAGAGTCTTCTTGTGGGTAGAGAGTCCTTTTGAAAGGGATTGTGTGGAAAGTAAATGTTGGAGAGAAATGTAAGTATCTGGAATTTCCATGGATCCCAACCATTGAGAGATTCAGAATCATTGGACCTAAGACGGGTTCTGGTTCCCCATTCAAGGCGATCTGATTGACCAAATCAATAGATGCTGGGATTCAAATGCTATTAACAGATGATTTCTTCCTTTTGTAGCAAATGAAATTTTTAAAATAAAGTTAGCAAGATTTACTTGGCCAGTGGATTTATAATAATAAGGGTCGTTTTTTCTGTTAGACTGGATCATTTTGCCATTAAGGAGAGTGAAAATGATTCTTTAAATAGGAATGTAGCTCAGTTATCCAAATCCCATTGAGCTTCCTTTTCGAAAGTGCCAAAGGGTGGTGGTTGATAATATCTGCCCAATCTGTGATAGTAAGGGAGAATCAGTTGAGCATTGCTCGTTTACATGCTTTTTTGTGAGATGTGTTTTGCTCAAATACAGAAGTCCCATATTGTCATCTTGTAGAGCTTGAAAAGCAGTCGCTGGTAAGTTTGTGCGTGTTCAATATTGCCCGTCTTCTCTAGTATCACAAGCTTCATTGGCAAGAGTCCGAGAGCATCCACCACCTTATTTGCTTACTATGAGAGATAGAGAAGAGAACCAGTTCAGGAGATCCACAATGCCAGGAAAATATACCAAAGGTCCCACCTCACTCTCGGCTTGCCCTTTACCAAGTTAACCAAGACCATATTATCTGAGAGAAGTTCAATGTTATGGAAACCCTGAGATTGGGCTGTAGTTAAATCATGTAGCAAGACTTTTAACTTGACTTCCATACTTGTCACCAACCAATAATAACTAGAGAAAGCAAACAGAAATTTTCTTGAAGAATCCCTGAAGACTCCCTCCYCCCCCCTTCACCAGGGTTACCTCTAGAAGCTCCATCAATATTAAGAGTAAAACAAGTTGGTGTAGGTGGAATCCTCTTATCCACCACACAGATTTCATCCTCCATACATTCCTCACATTGAGATTAATACCATTCTGATCAGCTGGATTGACTCTTCATTAGGAAGTTCAGATTCAAGTTTATTGTAAGGAGCAACTCACCAAGCCATCATTCCACCACCCTAATCACATAACCTCAGTAGCAGAATTTGTTCTCCATTCTCCTTTTATTGCTTTCCAGCTATCTATTTAGACGTCGGAAACATTCTCTACCTGGCATCTTGGGAAGACAAAAATATCACTGAAATGTCTCCACACTTGGATGCCAGCACCCCCTCACAAAGACATGATCTCCATTCTCAATTTTTTGTATACTGACAACAGTTGCAAGAGGATTCCAATGGCACACCCAGCTTCTGGAAATTGTCATCAAGAGGTAGTTTATTTTTCACCAGTCCCCAAACTAAGAAGCTTATCTTAGGGGGAATTTCACTGTTCCAGATGTTAGAAAAAAGTGCATTTCTCCCTCGAGATTTAGGAGGAGAGAAACTACCATTGCTAGTATGTTTCCAAACCACAGTATCACCTCTGTTTGAAATAAATTTTCCACTATTACAATTTACAAATAGCTAGAACCACCTTGAGTTTTTGTTGAAGGATTGTTGTACTGGATCTTGAACCTTTTTTTTTTTTTGAGTTTAGGCAAGCTGGACATGATGAATTAGGCCTAATTGCTGCATCTCACCGCATATGTGCTTTCTCTGTGAGATGAGTGGAGAGCCCACTTTCCATCTACTAATCTCCTACCCATTGGCCCCCAATATTTGGGAGCAAGGATCAAAATAGTAGTGCATATCAATTTCACCAATTATATCTTTTTTTTTACTTTTTTTAACATTTTATGTTTAAGCATTAAAGGGATGCCAAAGATCATCCCAAAGTGTTAAAACTTTTAAAAACTTACTATCGGTGTAACTATGTGTATCTGGGTGCACCAATATGGATACAATACACCCGATATGATATTTTGATCCTTGTTTGGAAGTTTCTTGATATTTTTGGTTGTAGGCACTAGGCAGATACCACTAGCAAATTTGCAATGTCTTTTCATGGCCTCATTCTTTTTTTTCGATCGGTAACAGAAATCTTTATTAATGAGTAATAATTGTGAAAATTAACTACAGAAAATGGGGAGGTAAACRATCTTAACTCCCCAACATCAAAATGGCAACAAAATACTAAAAATGTGCCCAAAACAAAGAATCCTTAGCCACCCTTTGCTTAGCTAACCCATCAGCCATTGAGTTAGCACTTCTCTTCACCCAGCTGTATTGCACCTCTAAGACCTTACACAGCCAATTAAATTTTTTCTTCTCATTGCTGTAGCTCCACAAGCCACAGATATCTCCTTTCAGCCACCTAATCACCACCTTCGAGGCCCCCTCAATCACTAAGCATCTAATGCTTAATTCTCTTGCTCTTTGGATTCCTTCAAGAACTACTAGAATTTCGGCCCTAAGAGAGTCACCCTCACCAATTGGCCCAGAGAACATGGCAGCAATATACCCCTCATTCCTGAAAACACCCCCTATCCCAGAAGGCCCTGGATTCCTTAAGCTAAATCCATCAAAATTCAGTTTTATGAATCCAGCGGGAGGGGGGGTCCAAGTGGGACTACAGTTCCTTTTATACATAGCAGCAGTAGCAACCTCTTTCCACTTTCTCAGCATGTCTGCCATACAGAATTCAGAGAATATCTCCATTGATTTCAGCCAATGAGCAGCCCTTGAAAGTATCAAATCTGTTAGGTTTTCTGTGGTTCTTTCCTTATCTGAAAAAATTCGCAAATTTCTTTCTTCCCATATTGACCAGAACATGCAGCCCTAATGCTTCTTCACATAATCTTCCCCCTTCTCTTAGGCCAACTAAAGAAAGAAGGAGAGAACAAGCATTGCACACTCACGGGGGGTCCAAGTATACCCAAAAAGGGAAAACACCGACTCCCAAATAGTCTTAGTAACTGGACAAATAACCATAATATGATAACCCGTTTCCCCATCAACTTTGCAAAGAATACACCTATTGGGAAGTAAACAGCAGTTGGGCCTCTTTCTTTGAAGCAAGTCATTTGTGTTAACTCTTTCTAGGAAAATTTCCCAACAAAAACTACCAACCCGAGGAGGAATGGGTTTGCTCCAAATCTCTTTAACTGGG